GGGGGGGGGGGGGGTGTCCCAGCAAGAGGCTCCCAAAGCAGGGCATCCCCAAACTGGAAGTATTCAGGTATCCCAAAACTGGGGCATCCCAAACCAGAGGCTCCTAAATCAGGGCATCCCGAGCCAGCAGCATCCCAACCTGGGAGCATCCCAAACTGGGAGCATCCCAAACTGGGAGCATCCCAAACTGGGAGCATCCTGAACCAGAAGCTCCTAAATCGGGGCATCCCGAGCCAGGAGCATTCCAGACTGGGGGGGTCATCCTGAAGTGGTGGCTTTGAAACCAAGGGATATCCCAACCTAGGGTCGTCCTGAACTGGGAACGTCCCAACCTGGGGGTCCCAAACAAGAGGCTCCCAAAGCAGGGCATCCCCAAACTGGAAATATTCAGGTATCCCAAACCAGGAACATCCCAAACCGGGGCATCCCAAACTAGTCCCGAGCCAGGAGCATTCCAGACTGGGGGGGTCATCCTGAAGTGGTGGCTTTGAAACCAAGGGATATCCCAACCTAGGGTCGTCCTGAACTGGGAACGTCCCAAACACACGTGCACAAACAAGAGGCTCCCAAAGCAGGGCATCCCCAAACTGGAAGTATTCAGGTATCCCAAACCAGGAACATCCCAAACCAGGGTATCCCAAAACAGGGCACCCCAAACTAGGGGCATCCCAAACTAGGGGCATCCCAAACCAGGAGCATCCCAAACCAGGGCATCCCAAACTAGGGGCATCCCGAACCAGGAGCATCCCAAACTAGGGCATCCTGAACCAGGAGCATCCCGACCAGGAGCATCCCAAACCAGGGCATCCCAAACCAGGAGCATCCCAAACCAGGGCATCCCAAACTAGGGGCATCCTGAACCAGGGCATCCCAAACTAGGGGCATCCTGAACCAGTGGCTCCCAAATCTGGGCATCCCAAGCCAGGAGCATTCCAGACTGGGGGGGTCATCCTGAAGTGGTGGCTCTGAACCCAAGGGATATCCCAACCCAGGGGCACCCGGAACTGGGGGCATCACCCACTCACCTCCCCGTGCCCCGTCCCAGGGAGTGGGCAAGTGGGCAGGCAAAGGGGCAAGCGGGCAGGCAAAGGGGCAAGCGGGCTCCCCGGCTGTGCCAGCCCCGAGACGCGCGAGTATTTATTGCACCAGGAGAGTTTTATTCCAGAGACGCTTTTTGTTTTCTAAAAGGCGACTCCCCCGGGGGGCGGGCGGGTCCCCCCACACCAAGGTCTATGCAATTCGCGATTCCTCCAGGGGGAGGGGGGGGGATGGCTGTGTGCCCCCACCCCCCGCCCCCTGTTTCTATTAAAGACACGTGAAAGGAGCCCGCTGATGTGCCTGGGGGACAGCGTCCATCCCAAGGGACACAGCCAGGGGTGGGAAGGGCGTCCTGTCCCGTCAGTGGTGGTCCCTGTGCTTTGGTTGGGGTGGGGGGGGTCAGTGGTGGCCAGATCCTGCCCTGGAGCGGGGGTTGTGTGCCTGGTGGGAGGTCCAAGGGGGTAGTGGCAGAACCAGGGTCATGGTCCCAGGGGGCTGTCCCCACCGGGGTGTCTGGAGAAACTTGGTGCAGCCACAGCAGTGATGGAGGTGGAGGAGGAAGGAGCCAAGTGGAGATGGAGGGAGAGGTGGAGGAGGGGAAGAGGGTGCTGGAGGTAGACTTGAAGGAGGGATCATGATGGAGGTGAGATTGGGGTGGGGGAGATGCAGGTGGAAGGGGAGGAGGTAGGAGTGGGTGGGGAGGGATGGGAGGGGAGGTGGTGCAGGAAACGGGGACAGAGATGGAGGTAGAACTGGAGGAGAGGGAGGGGGAGATGGAGGAGGAGATGAAGGTGGAGGAGATGAAGGTGGAAGGGGAGGAGGAGGTAGGAGTGGATGAGGTGGGATGGGAGCGGAGGAGGTGCAGGAAACGGGGACAGCGATGGAGATAGAACCGGAGGAGAGGGAGGTGGAGATGGAGGAGGAGATGAAGGTTGAGGAAACCATGAGCCCTGAAAGGCTGCTCCAGGCTGAGGTCTGTGTGGTGTCACTGCAGGTGCCGTGGCCGTTACCCTGCTTCGCAGCAGGGGACAAACGTGGGTTTGGCACCCGTGTGTCACCCAGGCAAGGAGCATCCCTGGGCACAGCAGGTTCCTCAGGGCACTGACCATGGGGTGCCAGTGGTCATGGGGTGTGATGAGCCATGGGATCTCCCTGACTATGGGATGTCACCAGCCGTGCAGTCCCATGGGATGCCAGTATCCACAGGGATGGGGGTCAGCTGGGCAGGGTGGCCGTGCCGCCCAGTGCTTTGCCACCATTGTCAAAGGCAAGGGATTTGGAGGGTGGTAGGTGACACCACCTCTATGACCAAACCTGAACATCTGAGACCTTCTGGCTCCCTGCAAGGTCCAGAGCACCCAAGTATCCCTGATGCCCTCCTGGAGCAGGTCCCAGAGCTGCTGTTGGAGGTGGCTCTGGGGCTCCTGGTGGCACGTCATGAGCTGGAGAGCCTCAGCAGCTCCTCCACCCCCTGCATCCCACGAGGACCCCCTGCACCCAGTCTCAGCTCAGGTGTATTGTACCAGCTTTGGGGTGCTGTGGGGAATGGTGCTGAGCCCGGGGGGGGAGCGGGAAGTGGGGGGGCTGCTTGGGGTGTGCGACCTTTCCAGGCCAGACCCTTCCCTGTGGGGTGGGGGATTTCCAATCTCCTCACCACCAGAGGAGACCCCAGACTGGGGACCCCCTCAGGCAACAGCACTCTCTGGAGCATCCTCTCCCCATGGACATGCCCCTCCATATCCTGCAATGTGGGATCCTGCCCCCCAACCCCGACCCCGACCCCATCCCACCAGCCTGGGGGAGGCCCTGATGTCACACAACCCCCCTCTGCTGCCCGTCCTCCACTGCCCAGTGGTTTCCCTTCTCCATTTGGCCCCCAAAACACACAGGACTCACCACAACTGGGTTGGTGCTCACCAGGGGGTTGGGATCACCCCAAATCTGGGCTGAGATCACCCTAGGCCTGATGTTACCTCATCCCTTGGGACTCTGGCAGCCCACGCAGAGCAAATCCCATCATTTTATCACCCAAACCCCTCATTAAGCCCCATTTCTTACAGTGAAGCACCATCCCAGAGCCCGTGTCCTAACTCCATCAGTGGGCACCAGTCTGGGCTGGGACCACCCCGAATTTGGGCAGGGACCATCCCAAATCCAGGCTCAGAGCTCCCCAAATCCAGCCTGGAACTGCTCCAAACCACTCCTGGACCTCCCCAAATTGGGCTCAGGCTGTTCCAAATCCAGGCTGGAACCACCCCAAATCTGGGCTCAGATCATCCCAAATTCAGGCTGGGACCACTCCAACCTGGGACCATCCCAGATCTGTACTGGGACCACCCCAAATCTGGGCTCAAATCACTCCAAATCCACACTGGGACCTCCCCAAATCCATGCTGGATCACCCCAAATCTGGACTCAAATCACCCCAAATCCACACTGGGACCTCCCCAAATCCATGCTGGATCACCCCAAATCTGGACTCAAATCACCCCAAATCCACACTGGGACCTCCCCAAATCCATGCTGGATCACCCCAAATCTGGACTCAAATCACCCCAAATCCACACTGGGACCTCCCCAAATCCATGCTGGATCACCCCAAATCTGGGCTCAAATCACCCCAAATCCACACTGGGACCTCCCCAAATCCATGCTGGATCACCCCAAATCTGGGCTCAAATCACCCCAAATCCATGCTGGGACCTCCCCAACTCATGCTGGACCACCCCAAATCTGTGCTCAGATCATCCCACATTCAGGCTGGGACCACTTCAACCTGGGACCACCCCAAATCTGGGCTAGGATTTACCACAAATCCACACTTGGATCTACCTCCCCAAATCTGGGCTCAAATCACTCCAAATCCACACTGGGACCTCCCCAAATCCATGCTGGATCACCCAAAATCTGGGCTCAAATCACCCCAAATCCATGCTGGGACCTCCCCAACTCCACACTGGGAACACCCCAAATCTGGGCTAAGATTTACCCCAAATCCACACTTGGATCCACCTCCCCAAATCTGGGCTCAAACCCAAATCCATGCTGGGACCACCCCAAATCTGGGCTCAAATAAACCGAAACCCACACTGGGACCTCCCCAAATCCATGCTGGATCACCCCAAATATGGGCTCAAATCACCCCAAATCCACGCTGGGACCACCCCCATGCCTGGCGCTGCCCCATCCCACGGGCCCAGGCGCCCATCATCCTTCACACAGACCCCACCCCACCATTTTACACACACCCCC